TTTGCGATATGGTGTAAAAAATTACATCTCGATTTCATATTTTTAAATTTAGTTAAAACATTGAAGCTATTTAAAGTAGCACACTCAGTGCCGTTATTTTGCACTACTGAATATTGTTTCAATATCTATTGTTCAATGTCTCTTTAGTTGTCTACTCAGATATCAAGGCATATCATACTCAGAATTCAAAGCCGCAATTACAAAGTAAAGCAAAATTAAACATATATGAATGTATGAAGTCAAGCGTTCGTTGTTATAACTAAGTAGTTGCAATTACTAGGAAGAATGTGTTCACATAATTTTTTAGTAGTAGCAATTGGCAAATGGCCACCCGATGTTTTGGCCTTTGCGGTTTCACTTCAACCTCAAAGCCGTTGCTAACTTGCTAGTCCTAACAAAGGGAAGTTTCCTCGTTAAAAACTTTACCCCGAAAAACCATTCAAAAGAACTTTGTATAAGAGATCATAAGATTTCCTTAATTATAACGAAACCACAACAAAAAGAATTAGGATTATGTAACATTACCTATATGTACAAATAAATAAAATTGGAGTGTCTGTTTGTAATATTCAACTGTTTACTAAATGCATATGGATACACGGTACATATACCTTTATAAAATTTTTAGAATTTTTGACTGTCTGTCTGTATGTTCCGGCTAATCTCTGAAACAGGGCTTTCACTGGCAGATAGCTAACGTAATAAGGATAGACTTTTACTTTTATTTTAAACATTCTGTTTATTTTTATTATATAGTATAATTTCAGGCGGACAAAGTCGCGTGCACACCTAGTATTATAATATAAACTACCCACACAAACATAAGAAAGGAGAGTGTTAAACTATTTAGAATGTAAAGTAATTAAAGAAGTATTTTCTGAATCGTTATACTGAGTGATCACAACGAAATGAGAACTTAAATCCCTCGTGTGTGGGAGATCACAATGAAATGAAAACTTAAATTCCTCTTCCTTCTCTATGACTACGAAGAATTTATATCTCTATTCTACATATCTGTGATGCTGTTTCCCACTACGAACTTCACATTCTACGACGATTTACTTATTTATGTGGTTGAAGCATTTGAATATACACAGAGGAACTAAGTTGTTGGATAGTATTTAATATCCCTTTTTGAAGAGATGAAGGTTGTGTAGACTGTGAGGTTTATACAAGTTATTTCATTATTTACAGAGCGAGTTTTCTATACTGATTGGAAATAAATAAATCATTGCAATTATTAATATTTTAGACATATTCAATAAAGGTGTAGATAAATTTTTAAGAGATGAAGTGAAAAAGTATTTAAACATATACGTTACGATTTAATAAACAGTATTGCAACGGTTTTGGTAACAATTCTTTTAAAGTCAATTCCTAACCTTTACTTGTGTTACATTTTTCTTGTAATTAACACTAACACTATTTATATGTGGATATAATGACATCATAAATATAGCGTTCCGAACGTTACGCGTGAAGCCTCATCGATCACATCGTAGGATTCCTCTCGAGTCAACGTAGGCCGTACGGAGCGGCGGCTACACGCTACAGTTGCGCTACGGTCGCAGGACGCTACGCTCGTTACTACGCGTCTACAATTATTACAATTCTACGAAAGATACACTTTATAACAGACATAATTTTTAATTTCAAGTGAATGTGTTTTAGGCCACTGTGTTATTATAACTGTAAGTTAAACTTTGCTTAGTTAGTTTATAATTTTCGTTTTACAAGGATGTTGAACATGTAGGTCATCGAACGATAACGGTAATTTTGTTCAGTTTACGTTGGTTTTGTCTTATAAAATATTTTTTAAGTATTTAAAAGTTCCCAGATATTTAGTTTTATAAACTAATTGAATTTATTACATTATGGACGATGGGAGGTTAAATTGCTTAAATGATTTCTGTTCACATTTAAAATACTGTGGCTTCTGATTAAAAACTTCTGAAGAACAGCATTATTTGAAACGCTTTATAAAAAGAGTTATTATTAGACACATAAAATAATAGCTGACATTTTCATCTCTTTTCATGTTGGCTAAAGATCCGATCTCTCATACAAAAAAGCATTGACGTTGTTCCTAATGTAATAACATCTAAACAACACGTCTTTGTTTTCTTAAAATATTCATGTACAAACATATTATACGCTTGCGTATAACTATTACTAACTGAAATTGTTTTAGTAATTTTTTTTATAGTTAAAGATTTTGTAGAATATGAGACGGACTAACAATTGGTAAATAAATTAACGGACTAACAATGGTTAACTAAATAAATAAAATTGGAATAAAAAAAAGTTTACATCCTGTTTTTAGTTGCACGTAAAAACTATTTCGTGCCCAAATTTTTAAAAACTTTGACTTTAACATTTAATAACATATGTTTACGGTTATTATTCATATTGTCGTTAGTTTATTATTTAAGATACTGCATTTATACTTTTATATTCCAATTTTTAAGGCATCTTATTTTTGTATCGAAAATTATAAGGTTACACTGCACTATAAACGTATACAATATACACTGATAAAAACAGGGGAATTTATTTCATGGCTTACATTTTCCATATTAATATTTATGCGTCTGAAAATCAACTTCACACCGTTTTCGGCTGGCTTTCATTACTTCTTTGTGAAATAACAATAGTTGAAACCGCTAATAAAAGTAGTTATAATGTTATATACGAAACCATGGAATTTGCATTATTAACATTGAGAATCGTGTGGGAAATAAAAGTATAATAAAGAAGTTTTGATGTGCCTGCAGTAAAATTAACTTAACTAAGAATATCCCTTTGATTATATACTTGACAAGTGTATAATCAAAGGAATGGCTGTAGCATGGTCTCTACGATATGCTCCAAAATGAATAAAGAAAGATGCTTCCGCTTCCGAGCTTCGCTTCGATAGTTAAGGAAACATTGACCAAGCTTTTTTGAAATTGGCGAATAGTTCTGCAGTCCAACTAGTATAGTGGATAGTGACAATCATTTATTGTCAGAGACGTACGTGCCAGCTTAGTTGCGGCCTTATACTATTAAAAACGATTAATCGATTAATCGTATCCCAAAAAAAAATTATGTGATAGACCCTTTGCAAAAGGTACAGCGTTTCCTTAAGGTATCTTTTCCTTAAGGTAAATTATATCTCCTTCAATATAGTAAAGGAAATAACAAATTGCCAATTGCTTTGAGATCAAAGCCTTCAGACATAGTTTGCTGAGGCAAAGGCAATTTGGTTGTGCGCCAAGTTATAAAATCAGTTCAATGAACTTTCAAATTTAGTGTACTGGCATATTTTGTGGGTAGGTATAACAAATAGATTTCGAAAAATTATTTATTCATATTGATTGTGAATGTGCCCACCTCTTTCATATATATATATATATATATATATATATATATATATATACTGTATATATATATATACATATAAATATACATACAGTTTTAATACAATTTAATTACATTAAACTAGGTAGTCCATCAATAATATCATAAAAACCATGATAGTATCCTTATACTATGAAATATTTATTTGGAGGTAGAGGCGAACAGTAAACGCGCGTATTACAGACTTTATGGACCATTACAAACCTACAGACTTGATAGGTTAGCCGTTGATTAATCGAGTTAGTTTTATTTGGCAGTAGCTAGTACATTTACGATCAGTAATATTTTTAGTGAAATTTTAAACATGTCGAATACTCGTTTCTTCCGTACTCGACAATCTAGCAGTAATTTCATAGATAAAGGAATATACTCGTATGATAAAGATGTTATATAATGTGGCATCATAAACATTAACGTATCACTACAGTGGTAAGCAATGCAGCAATGTGATTTGCTTGGTATATTTACCAGAGCCTAACGAAGGGACAAAATAAGATTAGTTTATTAAAAAACAACGTTGTGTGGACCGCACAAAAAATTTGAGGATCGTAACAACTCATACGAGGAATGTTAGAACCAGTTATTGAATAAGTGAGCAATTCTGAAGTATAAGATGAAATGTAGCGACGTGCAGGACGAAAACAAACTTGAATTCTGAAGTATAAGATGAAATGTAGCGACGTGCAGGACGAAAACAAACTTGAATTCATAAACCGTAAAAAGTACAGAGTAAGAAGGAGCTAAAGCATGTTGAAAATCCTTTCAGTATTCGAAAAGCATCAGAATAATACTAGTGGGCCCGACAGACGTTGTTAAGTCGACAACAAGTTATAAATAAAAAAAGCAGAAACAAAAAACGAATTTTAGATTCACCATTCTAGAATCGATCTGAAGACATACAAAGAATTTCATTAAAATCGGTCCATCCGTTTAGGATGAGTTCCGTGACATACTCAATTTATACAACAAAAATTATATATATAAAGATTATTCGTATTTATAGATTTTATTATTATTCTCACACTTTAGGTAACAAATCTTTTGTCACGATCGTTTCGAAAAGGGAAATGTTTGTTGTGTAATATGATATGATGTATATAATATATAATATATGTGTTGTGTTAAATATTTATTTTAACTCTAATTAACTTGTTCTAAAATGCTTTTATTATTGCCTTGTATCTATGTATCTATATTATATGTAAAAAGGTATTTTATAAATCAATATTCAACGACCTCTATAAACTGTTAAGTTAAGCATTATTTTAAAACTCAAGTTTATTATCACATAAATTTTAAATAAACTTACGAATCACACCAAAAAACAAGTCTCTTTAAAAGTATAAATAACTCTTAATAGCTTAAAAGGAGATTGAAGCGATAAGCAAAAATTTTAGTTGAAAGGTAAAAAAGCGTGGGTGCTGTTTTATAATAACTTGACCGTCACGAATGGCTAGGGAAGGGGTGAAAAGTTCATAACTACTATATCAAGCGTCTATAGTTATTTTTATAAAGGTAATCTATTTTTTAATAGCAGAGTTATACAACGGCAGTTTGTAAAACACTATTTTGAAAGACCATAATCTTTTGTCATCAGAACCATGTCGTTGGTGCCACCGGGCGGCGCGGACTCTCCTAGCCCAAGGAGAGCCGTTAGTCCTTTATTAGAAATGCGACGGCCCCATTGCACTTTAGCGTGTGATTACTGCGCAGCAATTTTGGAGGACAAATTCAAGAGTAAGTCACGCTATAAACTACATAGCTACAAAAAAATAAAAAATAAATATTTCAAAGAAAAAAAAAAAAACATCACATAGGATGTAGAAAATATCTGCTTCTTAATAGGAAGTGCTGATATGAGGAACCGCGGCACCTCCCCGCTGTCAGCATCACCACGACAGTCCTTGACAGGGGAACCACCTTGGACACTTCCAGAAGACGACCGGCCAGACTTTTCAGCACTCAAAGAGAATATACAGAAGATTAATAAGTGAGTATTAAATGAATTTATTCTGAAACAGAACCAAAATGGCATTCAAAAAAAATTTAAAAATTGTACTAAACGGTTTCCAAAAAACCAAAGGCTTTGATATAACATTTGATTTTTTATATCTGCCCCTTAATGTTGCTTCTTATGCTGCCTTTTCTTCGCCACTTTATCTTGCCATTTTCAATGCTGAATAAGGAATAGTAATAAGACCTACAATAATTGACGTAGCAACATCTAAACTTGTACTACTTATGTTTTTTTTTACAACTACCAATTTGTTGTTATTGTGTTATAATACAATAATATTAAAAATATAATTATGTTTTAACATACGCATATTAGATTTGACATCTTATTATAAAATCCAATACTAGACTAGTTGAAGGCGATGTCTCCTATGGATGTCGTTGATTATTAGTACGTTTTTTTATTTTTATGTTTTCTTCCGGATAGTATATTTTTTAATTCGAAATAAGTTTTATTCTTTTTTTCATATTTTTCTGTTGTGTATATTAATTAATACATTCATTCTTTTACATTACTAATACATTTTAGTATACTGTGTATAAGGCACTAAATACAAGTTGTAAATTCCTTAAATTTAAGTATATAACTTATAATGTAACACGATATCTTTACAGCACTTATATATTTCCCATTGGTTTGTAGTCGTTTTTATTACTAAACACTTGTATCGTTGTGCTAACAGGGATTGTGAAACTTCAACTCGTTTGGATATGTTATTAACACAAGTCGAGCAATATGCTAATAATTTAGAGGCCCTCGTCGAAGAACGTACTTCAGATTATCTCGAAGAGAAAAGAAAGTGCGAAGAGCTTTTATATCAATTGCTACCAAAGTAAGTAAAACTAACAAAATCAGTTTACTTATTGCAGCTCTTTAATTCATTTATTGTGAGTTCTTGATATTAGTTTCGTAAAATATATTTTATATCGGTCAGGTCTGTAGCATCGCAACTGATAATGGGTCAGCCGGTTATGGCCGAGACTTACGACCAAGTAACCATCTACTTCAGCGACATAATTGGTTTCACCAAACTTTCGGCCGAATCAACGCCCCTCGAAGTTGTTGATCTTCTCAACGACCTGTATACAAGTTTCGACTCGATTATTGAGAACTTTGATGTGTACAAGGTAATTATGAATGCGTTCAATACAAAGTTACCTGTCTTGTATAGAACGCTAATTGTTTTATGGGCCTTATTGAAACAGTTTTTACTAAAATACTTTCCTTTGTCTGTTGATGCAGGTGGAAACAATAGGCGATGCTTACATGGTGGTATCAGGGCTACCAATGCGCAATGGTAATCGACATGCTGCGGAAATCGCGCGCATGTCTTTGGCATTGCTTAGAGCCGTGCGTGTCAAGACAGTTCCTCACCGACCAGGGGAGAGGCTTCTCTTACGGATTGGAATGCATTCAGGTCTCATTTGTGCTATTAAATTAATTATCTCCTTTCCAACGTTTAGGAAAAATGAAATGAACTCATTCTAAAATTTTATTTTATCATCTTTATGTTGTTATCATTGCACCTATAAAGTGTTTTTTCATTGTTAAACTAATCTAATTGTTCTAAGTATGTTCGTCTATTATGATATTGTGTGACAAAATTATTTACAGGCCCTTGTGTAGCGGGTGTTGTGGGCTTAAAGATGCCTCGCTACTGTTTATTCGGTGACACCGTTAACACTGCCTCTAGAATGGAGTCCCACGGCGAAGCTCTTAAGATTCATGTCAGTCCAAAAACTAAGGAAGTACTCGATTTGTACGACTGTTTTGAACTTGAATGTAGAGGAGAAATTACGATGAAGGTGCGGTAGAAAATATAATTTTTGTTCCTAATTATGTCGTCGAATTTTTCTATCAATCTCTAATTTTTTTTTATTAATCAGGGAAAAGGAAAAATGACTACATACTGGTTAATAGGTGAAAAACCGGAAGACTTGAAAGGCAAACCAAAGGGACCGATAAACTGCACTCAAACTGTAGCTACGAATAATCCGAGCATAACATTTCAAGGACCGGATAGTCCTGCTGCGCACTCTCAGAATCACAGCCAAAGTCCTGAACGTAATGGCACCCAAGAATATAGAAAAAATACAGCGGAAGAGTTAATAAACGAGAGGGATCGCATTAAACACGAAATCGCAACATTCGTCGCGAAGGATCTCATAAACAATATAGACAACGCCGTCAAAGAGTTTAGAAAATCAAAGAGTGCTAATTTCAACCAAACGCCAACAGTAAACAAACCGGTTTGCAATGGTAATGAAAAGGGTGCGCTTATCACGCCAACCTACGACAAAGAATTAGTGATCAGCAAAGGGAAAGTGCGTGACGTCGTGAATAGATTCAATAGCAGCATTACTACTGACGCTTCCAGTAAAAGCAAAACAAAGCCGCTGTAGACCGAAAGTGACATTTCCTTACGTAGCTATTCCCGAACCCGGTCTAAACTTTTACTATTAGCTAGGTGTTTAGGATATAGACGTGATTATTTGATAGGTGCAAAGCACTTACATTAGTGTACCAATATCTAGTCATTAATGTGAAAACATAAACCTTGTATTTTAATTATAGATAAATATTATCACTTGTAGGTGATTAACCTGCCCCGAATTTTATTGGCTGAAATAAAACTAGCATGTTGAAAGCAAAATATTATATAATAAATATATGTCTACAAGATAGTTACCAAGTTGTTTAAAAGCTCTTATGTGAAAGTCCTTGTGAGTGTTTAAAAGCTCTTTCTTATATGAAAGTCCCTGTGACATCTATATGTGAATAGTAGAAATATTGAAATTTATAACATGTATTATACATTAACCCTTGTAGTGTTTTTACCAACTTTTTATACCTCTGTACCTTTCTTATTTCTTAAAAGTGTTAAGACTAAAAGATAAAATTTTATTAGTTCTGTAGTAACCCTTTTCATGATAGTAACGCTCCTTGTTTGTGTCAGGATTGGTAAAAAAACTATATGCCTAGAATTACCTAGTGATGTTGTGTAATTAATCATTTAATGGCCGTTATTCCAAGTAATGAAAATTTATTTAGAGAATAATTCATATGAAAACCAATTAAATTTTGTTACTTCATTTTCGTGTTACTATATTACGTATAAGCGTTAGTAAATAAAAAAATATGAAATATATTTTCCCTTAGAGGCCTTGTTACTTTGATCTTTTATAAATATAATATTGTTTTGTTAGAAAATTTTAATGCCATCAAATACATACATATATATAAAATATCTTGTTTAACTTTTTTCAATTACCTATCCTTAATTGATATAACGTCATTACCGAGATTCATTTTATTTCAATACAAGTTTATACAGAAACTGTATTCAAATATACAATGAACGTGTTGACAACTTTTTTCGGATCGTAAGCATTTAACTGAAATCTCAGTCAAATAGTAATTATTATTAATATCATAAAATAATGAATAATTCAAAATTGACATAAATGCTACACGCTTAACTGACGCGAGCCATGAGCGCCGCCATATTGGCCTTGGCTGTTCTGCCGAGAGCACATATAAGCTGTGTGAGCATAAGCATTTGATTTCATGTCACGCATCCAATTTGTTTTCACAACAACTGTCGGATAAATTGAATCTCGTCAGCTGGCAACGTGAGCTCATGTCGGTCTCATTTGGAGATGGAATATTTGTAGCATGTGTGTATGATTTATTAATAATCCTAAACAAGTAAAGGTAAAAAAGGTAGCAAATACAAAGAATATACATAATTAATGCCGATTACATAGACTGGATATATCTTGCCTAGGGGTTGTATCAGATAAATAAGACTCGCAGATGTTGGTTGGATTTATGGGAAACTAATAAAAAATAAAACAACTTTAAAGTCTATTTTAATTGACTTCAAAAAAGGAGCCAGTTACATATTTTGCACCGATTTCGTTAACATTTTGTTTGGACCAATTTGTTTTTGTTTTGTTGACAATGATACAACCGCTATGCTTCTACGAAGTACTAATGATAGGATAATGAACTCTGGAGATAAATAATAGAATTCCTCTATAGCAGATAATAAATATAGATTGATTCAACATTTTTAACGATTGATAGTGACTTAACAAAATAATTTCATCGGCCAGTTCTATTTTCATATTCAACATATTCTATTTGTTATTTTATCTTTGACTGATATACTTTTTTTATGTGAAAAATTGCCAACGAGCACGTGGTTCCCATGATGTTAAGGGAATACCGCCACCCATGAACTACAACATCTGAGGGCATGCAGATGCCTTAACAAATTTTATAAAAGATCTGCAGACACGACAATACTAAGACAACCACGACAATATCGAATGAAATATAATATAATGGTTCAATTAAAACGTCTTATTAGTTGTGAGTAAATCAACAGTGATTCAAGTATTTAGCAAATAGAGGTTATGAATATGCAAAATAATTCATCACCGTCTTAAGGCTTAGGCTAAATCGATTATTCAATTTCACGATTTTTATTACTATATTAAACTCATAATCTGGTACTCAAGGCTTGTGGCAACGGAAATCACTCTATTTTACTCCACATATTGGAATAAAATAAAGTGATTTCTTCCTAAAAAGAAACGTTTCTTCTTTCAAACTGAGCATTGAGAACGCATCGGTACTTTTTCCATCTTAACTAAAACTGGAAAAAATGGGTAAGTGATCCTTTCGTGCAGACACAGTGTAAGCTAACTGCACAAATTTTATTAAAAGTTTTTCCGATACGTTACACATAGAGTATCACGAACAATGTGTATATTTAATTATTTTACTTGTTCCACCTTTTTGCTAACACTTAGCTCAAATTCAAATGTGACGATCAAATAACCGTTCAGATAATTTTGCATTAGTTAGATAGTTATTTTTATTATTGCAATTGCAATAATATTGCAATTAGTTAGCAACTCGAATATCTACCTTGTGTCAATTTCTTTATTACATAGGTACATTGTTCTGTTCTCGGAAAATTATACGGAAAATATAAAATAACATTTCCTTTACAAATATGTAATGACAGACATGAACACATTAATATCAAAATGTTTACTAAGTTGAAACCGTTCGCTTCACCACAAAGGATTTAGCTCACGATATATAAGCATTTGTATATTGTGTGGAAGGGGTTGCGTAGTGAGTACCAACGGCCACAGCGATCTAGAAAAATCTCGAAAACATTGCCCCCTGACTACAGTGGATTAACATTATGCTGCATAGTAAGGACCTTACATAATAAGGACCTCACATACATAAACTAGGTACACAAAAATAGCTGTGTCCTGTGAGAATACAACCCATGTCCCCCGGCGCAAACCAATACCTTGGAAAATGCTCAACGGAGTTATCAATGAGTTTTTTATCTCATATTTCATATTACGTATTTCTGCATTTTGCTGGCGACAACTTGGTTGTTTCCTCATATATATTTTTTTCAAAGAATTTTCCTGTACTTATTATTTAAGCTCGTGGTAGGCTAGGTTTGTTAGATTACATGTTCAAAAGGATTTTAGTAACATAAACTACGGAGTCGTTGGGAATTATATTAAAATCGTAATAATATACGTTAGGCTTATCTCATATTAATTATAATCCTCCAGCTCAATCTATCTGTATATAGCTGTCACCGTATTAATTCTGAATATAGCCGTTTTTACGGTAGTAAGGCCACACAGCAGCCTCGGCTGTTGCACGAATGAGCAGGCCCGTCCGGGTAAGTACCACGACCTCACAGAAGACCAGCGTAAAGTGGAAGTATGACAAATACTTTCGCATTTCGTCTCGTGAGTGAGGTAGCCGGAGCCCAATTTTCCAAAGATTGTCAACGCATCTGTAACCCTCGAGTGTGGCAGATGTCCATGGGCGGCGGTATTCATTTAACATCAGGTGAACCGTCTGCTCGTTTAATAACTTTTCGCATTAAAAAAAAACCTAATTGCCCCCCGTGTACTGCCATGTCATCGGAACAATACTGTCGTATATTGAAAATTGCTGTATCTTGCTGGGCAAGATAACCTAAACAAGTGCACAAAATAACCTAAACAAGTAATACGCACACATCTTTAGTGTTCTAACCATAACTATTAGATATTTTAAGCTGGATAGTGTGAGCTTATGTGGCCCATTGGCACAGATGTAAACTTGTGGCCGTACAATGGTCAAAATCATGGCAATGATTTTACACTTAAAAATTCAACCATCTGAAAATTTATTGGTGCACGCCATCGGGGTTCGAAATCGTGACCTTACATGGCTTTTCCCTAGCCATAGATATACGTAGTGTCTTTGCAAACAAAAGAAAATTACTAAACACCGTCCATCAATTTGCTTCTAGATTTTTATAATTTTTGAACTGGAAAAATAAATTCAAATAAATAAATTCTCCCCAGCGAAGCTAGCGTGATTTCCATGTGATGTAATATTGAAATCGTTTTTTTCTATTTGGAATAAAATATACATGTTATGACACATGGTAAACACGATATAAATCTTGCTTAAAGAAAATTCACTGATCTCGAAAATTATATCTTCGTGAAATTTCGCATGTCGCTGGTTTTAATAAGGTATAAAGTATACATAATAAAACTGATGAAGCACATATTTTGTATGTTTTAATAAATTACTAGTTTGTCTATGCAAGAGTTTAAAATCAGTAACAAAAACACAATTATATTAATTTTATAAATAGGTATAGAGTGTGGCGAACGGATTGATTGGTGTTTACATCAAATATCTAAGTAATTGACCCACCCAGATCCACCAAATAAACTAACCAGCTCTATAAAAGAACGAAGGATTATCATAATAATCATGCTTATAACTTTTTATACTGGAGAGCATGGTCCACCATGAAGTTTTACATGATACTTACAAAAGAGTGTTAAATGAATGGATCATGGTTTTTACATCGTTAAAGAAAATCTACTGCTGACTGTAAAAAATATAAAAGTACACTCGAGACCACAAAGATGGATTGAAAATGAACTTCCCGCCAGTGGCGTAGAGCTTCGTAGCGCCTCTACGTTGCGATGAAATTGAATTTACTCGCAGACTTTTCTTATGAACTTATTTACACGATAAGTTCAAAATAACAAGCGATAATGAAAGAAAGAATGTGATTTGTAACCAAAATTAAATAAGTCATTTAATATAGATTGATGCTGAGGTAAAAGTTAAGTTTCAAATTGTATTAATGAAATAGTGTATGTTGTCGACATACACTATTTCATTTATGCATGGTGGTAAAAGATTGCAATTTGATGACGTGAAATACAGGAGAATTTGGCGAGAGAATCTATTAGCGTAAAACGATGAAACATCAAAGAAAAAGGTTATTTTCAAAAGCATTCTTACAATTGAATAATGAGATGAAAGTATTAACCTC